GCTAAGAACATTCCTTGAAAACTTCAGCCTCCCAGTTTTCCGGGAAATTTCGGCCCCCCAGCTTTCCTGGTTCCCGAGCTAGCTATTTTCTTGCCGAAAATTGTCAGGGAGCCATACGTGATTATCATTCTCACTGAGAGTCTGAATTTAATAATTATAAGTTAAACTTGTGCTGGGAACATTCCCCGAAAATTTCAGCTCCCCAGCCTTCCTGGGTCTCGAGTTGGCAATTTTCGTGCCAGGAACCCTCACGGGGCCATACGCGTGAACCACGCATGCCTGGAGACTGAATTTGAAGTCTTTGAGTTCCATGGAGAAGGGGGACATAGCCTCAAAATTTCAGCTTTCTAGTTTTTCTGGTCCCGAGTTAGCGTTTTTCCCGCCAAGTCTCGTACGTGGAGCCCAGACCTGTGTGAGGGTTGATATTGCGATCCTGGGATGACATTTGGCCAAGAAGCCCACTAGCAAAATTTTGGCACCGAAGCTTGCTTGGGTGCCGAGCTGAAACATCCCGACAGATGCACGCACACACACACATACACATACACACATACCGGGGTCGTCACAACACGCGTTTTTTACTTGCATATATGGAAAAACGCATAAAAACCGGTAATTATGAACCTGGAAGTCCGTGGCTCTATAATGTACCACCTCTATCGCAACTAACGCCTTACCTCCTGCATGTCGGAAAGGGGTCAAAGCACAACTGCTATGAGCCAAGTTTTGGGCTACAGCGCAGGGACTATTCCTGCTATCAGGGACTTGCGAGTTTAGTGCAAAAACGCATGACCGCACCAGCAAGGCCGGTGCGTTTCAGATGGGTTGCGTTTGTATATGCAAAAAAGCATAACTAGAAGTTTTGTAACTTCCAGGATGCAATTTCCTTACAATCACTGGAAAAAGGAGAGCACTGTATCACCTTGTATGCCTCACTCTTCTGTTGCTTTCACTTATTTTGCCCTCTCCTTAGTTCCACTTTCTCTGGCCATGTTACCGCGCAAAGAATGCAAAATTTAGTTAAAGCAACAATCATTACCGGAAGGTCAAAAATGCGGTGAAAATGCTCATATTTAACGTGAAAATCTAGATAGCGATGCACCAGGCTTCCACTATGCGTTTTTGCATGTTTGTTTCTTGTATAGAGATCACCTGTACTTTTGAGGTGTGATTGCGGTTGAAAATATCGTGCATCTGTTTGTAGGAGCCGTGTCTAGGCAAAAGATCATTTTACGTTTGTTGGTTCGCACATAAACCAAAACATCCTCAAAAAAATACTGTTTCCTGCTCCGACTGGTTACTGAGTTAATTGGATGTCAACAGTGTGCCATACTACATTCACTTGCGCGCACGCGAGAACTGACATGCTTTTAACTTGAATTAAGCCGCGTATTGGCTTAGAATATCTTTGTAAAATTCTAACTCCCTAGTATAACTGATTAGCAAAATAGCTTTCCGTTATAAATATGTCTGTCGTACTACACAATCAAGTGCCAAAATTTGTCTTGCGCCTACGTGCCTGTGTGGGTTAAATAAATATGCTCGTTAAGTTAAAATGCCCTAAACAGCATAGTTCTTGATTTGCAATTTTGCGAATAATATCTCAGCTTCAACTTTGTGTGTCCGTACACATGTTTAGGCGTGCGTTAAAAATCAAATTTGAAACTTTTACCTCACAAAAGAACACAGAACGTTTTTGTGAAATGTCAACTTCTTATCTTTTCCGGTTCCTGAAATAGTTTTCCTGCCAAAAATTCACACTTTCTTTTAAGCCTCCGTATCTGAAAACCAAACTTAAGAAAATGTTAGTAACGAAATAAAAGGATCACATGTGGGCATGCTCGAAAAGTTTCAGCTTATTAGCTTCCCTAGTTGCTGAAAATAACAAATTACAAGCACACACGGATAGCCGCTTACCAATATGCCATTTTTATGCTTTTTGTGCCGTGTAACAGCAGTACAAAACGCATATTGTCACGGGGTTGTGTGTGTGTGTGTGTGTGTGTGTCCGAGTGTATTTTGTCCCACTTTCAGCTCGAGAACCATGAAAGCTGGGACGCCGAAATTTTGCAAGAATGTTCTCCGTCCACGTGTGACGTTCAAACTTAAATTCGGCTTTCAGTTACCCGCGGGTACCACGTATGATCCTGCGAAAGTATTGGCGGGAGAAGCTGTTATCTCGGGAACCACGAAAGCCGGGATGCTGAGATTTTGGTAGAATATACCCCGTCTAGGTGGAACCCTGCAAGCTTAAGCACGGCCTTCACTTATTCGCGATAACCGCGTATGACCCCGCAAAAGTTTTAGCGGGAAAAAATTATTAGCTCGGAAATCACGAAAGCTAGGAAGCTGAAAATTCTTTAATAGAATTTTCTCCGACTAGGTACAACCTCCAATTTGAATTCAGTTTTTATTTACCCTGGGTACCAAGTACGACTCTCACTTACTCGCGAGTACCACGTATGATGCTTTGATGGGAAAAATTATTGCCCTGGGAACAGCGAAAGCTGCGAAGCTGAAATTTTAAGGTAATGTCTCCTACGCACCTTCGACGCAGGAAATTTTTATTCAGTCCCCTTCCCCCCGTATACTCAGGTTTTATGTACGGTCCCAAGAAAGTTTTGGCAGGAAGAATTGTTATCTCGGGAAACAAAAAAGTGATGAGGCTGAAATTTTATGAAAATTTTGACCGATAAACTATTATCCCGGGAACCACAAAATCTACGAAGCTGAAATTTTAGGGTAATGACCCCTTGTCCACGTACGACCTTGAAAATTCAAATTCATTATTCCTGCACTCTCGAGTATCGCTTACGGCCCTATGAAAATTCTGGCGGGTAAATTATTACCTCAGAGACCATGGAATCTGGGGGGCTGAAATTTTAGGGCAATGACCCCTGCCCACATACGACATTGCAAATTCAAATGCAGCGTTCTCGTACTGTCTGGTATCAGCTACGGCCCCGTGAAAATTTTGGCAGGGAATTTACTGTCTCAAGAACTAAAGAATAAAAGCCAAGAAGGTGCAGTTTTGCGGTAGTGCCGGAGCGTGAAACTTTTAACTATTTTTTTCAACTATTTTTGCACAGACTAAAGTACAAAGCAGTGAAAATTGTTAACAGGCAATCGTTTAGTGAACGAAGTGCACAAAACGCATTATCGCATCGGCTAGTCTGGTGCGCGTTGCTATTTATTGTATCCTGCATAAATAGACAAAAACGCTAGTAAAAAGAAAGTTAGGCATAAAATTAACTGAAAAACAGTGTGGATAAAGGAAATTGCTGTGCTGAGTTTCGTAAATATTCGGTTATTAACATTCTTCGCGTCGGCTCTTTTGGAAATTTCTGCTCCGGACACCTCACGATGGTGTGGGAGTGGCAACGAATTAAGCACTGTAAAAACACTGTGCCGAATTTTGTACTAGCTCCCAGCAGTTTCACTAAGAGCACTCTCATCAGCGGTACTGCACCAAAAGTCATGCAGCTGAGCTTTAAACTTAAAATGTACATTGTTTCAAATGAAATGGAATAAACAAAATAATCATTGGCGATGCGCACTGGGCTGGCCCGTGCGATCATGCGTTTTTGCAATATTTCATGCTGTACTGAGATCGCTAGGAACCCAGTAGCTAGAAATGTGTGATATACTGGCCCTCGAAATCCGGAAAGTGTGAACGGGGAACCGTTCGCTGAAATTTCAGTTTTACAAATTTTTTGGTTCTTGAGTTAGTAATTTTCCTGTCAAAAATTTTCACAGGGTCGTACGTGACACCACGTACGCTCGAGGGATGAGTTTGATAAATTTAAGTCGTACGTGGGCTGGGAACATTCTTTGAAAATTTCAGCTCCCTAGCTTTCCTGATTCTCGAGTTAGCCAAAAACTTTTCACGAGGCCGCACGTGAGAACCACGCATGCTCGGGAGCTGAATTTGATAATTTTGAGCTGAGCATGTGTTAGCATTCCAGCCTTCCAACTTTTCTGGTGCCTGAGTTAGCCATTTTCCTGCCAAAAATTTTCACGGAGCCGTACGTGACTAACACTTGCGCTGAGAGGCTGAATTTTGAAAATTTGAGTTGAACTTGGGTTGGGAACATTCTCTGAAAATTTCGGCCTCCCAGCTTTCCTGGATCCCGAGTTAGCCACTTTCGCTCCAAAAAATTTTGCGGGGCCGTACGTGAGCACCACACAAGCTGAAGGGCTGAGTTTAATAACTATAAGTTGTATTGTGCTGGGAACATTCCCTGAAAAATTCAGCTCCTCAGCTTGCCCGGTTTCTGAGTTAGCGATTTTCACGCCAGGAACCCTCACGGGGCCATATGCGGGAACCACGCACACCCGGAGGCCGAATTTGAAATCTTTGAGTTCTGTGTTCACGAGGAACATGTCCTCAAAATTTCAGCTTTCTAGCTTTTCTGATTCCCGATTTAGCGATTTCCGCCAAAACTTTCACCCCCTCTTACGCGGGGCCCAGATTTGCATGAGGGTTGTACCGCGGTCCTGAGGTGCAACCCGGCCGGGGAGCTCACCTGTAAAATTTTAGCGCCGGAGCTTGCTTGGGTGCCGAGTTGAAATACCCGGACAGACACGCGCACACACATACATACACGCAAACACACACTGAGGTCATCACAATATGTGTTTTCGCATTTGCATATATGCAAAAATGCATAAAAAATTGTCGCTAATACCCTATGTGACTTTCGGTCAGGCCTTGTTTGACGGATCAACAGCTGGAGGGCGAATGCTGGGTGCATGAACGATGCGCCATAGAGTTCTAAATTTTCTCTGTGTACGTACAGCGTGGACTGTTACTAATCATTTCCCTCAGGAGGTCAAGAAAACATCAAGTGGTGTCTTTTGCTCACTTGCTGCGACTGTTCATCCAGTTTTGTTCCGGTTTCAGGACATATGATGTGATACATCCGTATGCGTGCCTTCTAATTTGTCCACTGGGTATTGTTTCGAACATTATCCACATTCTAGTACTTACAAGACCAAGAATGCTGCGCTCGGCGGTCAACTGTGTCCTAGTGGTCATTGCTATTTGTGACATTATAACGATGAGTTCATATCTCCTCTATATCATCAAGTTTGAATTTGCTGCCCAGTCTCCTAGCTATGGAGTCAGGTTTGTTCAGTCCTTTATCGAACAGAAATACTAGTTTGTTCTCAAAAAAAAAGAAAACGTTTTCTTGTCAGCTCCACACATGCTGCAACTTTTTAGCATTCTTTCCCCAATTCTTTCTCACGTGTCTTACAACTGTTTTGAAAATGCTCAAAATTCTTCACTGCGTTCTGAAAAAATAATTATGTAGTAAAAAACGTTCCAGTTACTTAAAATTCGTAGAAATGATAACGGAGCTGAAGCTGCATATTATCTTTGGATGGATAAACTATACCATCAGATTCGTTGAATTTAACGCTTCTCCATTCTGTTACTTGCAGTTTTTCGTCCGCTCTGACACTTAATGCTTTTTGTAAGGTCACCCTTATTATGAGAGCATTACGTGTAGTGAATGACATTACAATGAGCAATCAAATGCACCGTAATCCCAGGTTAGAACGCACCAGGCTAGCCGGTATAATTATGCGTTTTTTGCACAGTTCCATGCATATGTTTAGTGCTGTTCTGATATGGCTTGTGCTTGCATTGGCTTTACTGAGTGTCTTTTGCGCTTACGTTCACAGAAGCTGTGAAGTGTTCCATTGGTGAAATGTAGATATAAAAAGATACTTATTTTGCGCTCCTGCAATCATTCATAATTTGGGATTATTCAGTTGAAAATGTAACTTAACATTCCGTTTAGATAGAGGGATGCGAAGATGCCTGCAGTTTTGAAGCCTGAAATTTGCTGTATAGCTATGGGAGGCGTAGTTGTTAGTGGAGAGTGAAGTTGTGGCATGGTGCCGTATAGGATATCCTAATATTATCGTAAAATTACTTCTTTCTTGCTTGGCTAATTAGAGAGAGGAGAGAGAGAGATACTGATGGCGATGATAGTATACAAATTGAACACGTCCGTGTGCTGGACATATACGTATCCAGAAACTCATTTCAAAGTTACAGGCCTGCATGTGAACAGTGAATATACTTAGCAAAATACTGCTTCCTGACGGTCCGGGTAAAAATTTGCTTGGGTGTCAATGGTGTCTGGAATTAATAATTCATTTGCGGCGCACGCGGGAGCTGGACATGCTTTAGGGCTTAGAACTTCGTATTTTGGTCGTACATGGGCATAGAATATCCTCGTGTGGTCTCAGTTTCCTAGCATGTCTAGTTAGCGAAATCTCTTCTTGTTACGTGGAATATTTGAAGTATCAGAACTCGCGACCCAGACATATGCCAAAGCTCATTTTAATTCTGCTTGTACAGTTATGGAAAATGAATATTCTAGTGAAGTTTGAACGTTCTATTTAACTTAGTTCCAGAATTGGCATTTTGCCAGCGACAACTTTGACGTATCCGTATGTGAAGTGTATATGTCTGTTAAAGCTGAGTTTGAACTCTTTAGCTCGCACATGAATAGAGAATATCTCTCTAAAAGTTTCAGCACCTTAACTTTTCTGGTTCCCGAGATCGCATTCCCGCCAAAAAATTTGCATATTCCTTTAAGGCGTCCGTACACGGCACCCAGGCTTGCGTGGGTGGTGATATTAAACCGAGAAAGTCACACAGGTGGTGGGCATATACTCCTGAAGTTTCAGTCTTCTAACACTTCTGGTTCTCGAGTTGAAAGTGAATGACAAAAAGAGCGAACACAGACACACACAGCCTCTTGCTAACATGTGTTTTTGTAGTTTGCGTGCATGCAAAAACGCACAGAAAGCAATAGATTGCTGTCGTACGTCTAAATCCGGAAAAATCAAATATCAGATGTTGACCAGTTTGTCTGTTCCGTAGCGCAAAAGTTAAAAATTCTCTTCGAGCGCAAATTAAATTTTTGAAATAATGCAACAGATATGTTCTTTAACGAGTATGAAATACAGGGGCTTTTTTTCCTAGGTGCACTCTTTCAGTTTTGCGCAGACTTAACTTTTGGTTTTCATGGTTGAAAACCGAGTAAAGCGCATTTGTCTACTCATATGCTACAATCGGCACTCTTTCAATTTCAGCCCAGTAAAAAAGTATAGCACAAATCATTTCGTACTTGTCGTTTGGAAATGCTTGAATGAGTTTCCCAGTCAATTAGATTTGTTTTTTTTTTCTCCAGCTTTTTGGTGTAAAGAAAATATTTTGGAGTGTTCTGCATGAGAGAACACAGCGCTAACAGCGTTTTCTAATTTCGATCACTGCTCTCGTATCCATTAGCATGTGTATTTGTCGTTGTTCTGTGCAAAAGTGGTAGTGCTCAAGCCTACGAAGCTTTGCAGCAGATCCGTATTCCCGAGGCTGAGGACATCAATGGTCTCGCTAACTAGATTAATTACATGCCTACTAATGCTTGCAGCTGTTTGGCTCCGGAAAAAACAACGTTACATTACTATACAGCCAGTCTCTTGAATAAAATAAACAAAATTTCACTGATAAACTGTTCATCACGATACGCACTGTGCAGCGACACTAAGCATCTAAGATTAACGTAGGATTCTGTCGTAGAGCTGCCAAATTTAGCTGCAAAACTGGCTGATACGAAGCAAAGAATGGCACAAATGGGATGTGTATGGAAACATCAGCATCCGGTTTTGAAGGATTCGAAAGGAAAGCCTGGAAAAGAATCCCACTATTACTAAAAGGCTGAACTCAAGGTGATTTGAAATTCCGATCACTGGAAATGTGAAAAGGTTGCATCACTGGAGCAGAAGTATTAATATTACGACACCAACTGGCTAAAATATAATTATGTATTTCGTCGTGTTTATCAGAGGTCCAAGGCCTTGAATACTGAAAATACTCACCTAGGACCAGAGTGAGCATGAATTTTTTGATCCCGTTAACCTATTCAT